ATTATTTAGAAAGCATGTTCCAAAACCACAGGTTTCAACACAGAGTCACTTGGTAGACTCCCCTCCACTCTTTTAGGGTGAGTTACTCAACTGGTTCACAACCTGCTATCGCTTCAATAGACCTTTCAACAGGTTTCCTCCAAAAATGTTTTCCACCTCTCACATATTTGCACCAGCCCTAATTAGTTTGTGATGCCCTTATCATCGAAAAATGCTCAATTTTCTGGTAATGTTTGGAACTGGTGGGTGGGAGGAGATATTGGTTTAGAAAGCATGACATCTTTATAAAAATTATTCAGGAGTCCTTTTATATCTTGTTTTTGTAACTTCTCAAGTTACAGAATGAAAGCTAGAAAAACATGAATTTTATAACATTAAATGTCAAACCAAGAATTTGAATATGAGGCTGTATAAAAGTGCTTTCAGAGTCACATGCCATCTAGAGAAATTATGTTGTTCACCTGTATTTTAACCTTTTTTGATGGAAAGAGACATAGGAAGAAAAGTGAAATGTTCATTTTACTCAATATAATTTTGATGAAAACTCATTCCACAATTGTAATGGCTATTAATCTTTCAAGTCTATGTTCAAACAATCTGATTTGTGGCATATTTCCTTGTGAGTGGGCAGTCTTTGTTTTGAAGTCTGCAGGTGCGCTGTTCAGTTGCACTGTAAAACGAAAAGTACTTATTAAAAACTACTGACATGGTAGTTTCAGGTTTCAAACTTTTAGACGCTGCTTTTTAGAAAACTGTGCTAGTCAGTGTGTGAGAAATTCCTGTACTGGAGAATGGGCACGTTTCAGGCACTGAGAGAAAAGCCAGCTGGACTTTTACTCACAAATTTTCTTGTTTTTCATGGTTGGCATAGATGACTCTATCACTTGCACATTGCTTTTCTGCTCCCTTCTAATGCTCAGTTATGTTCCATTCATCTTTCACCAAACAGCCCCCTCTATAGCTTTGATGGCAGCTTCATAATGATCCTACATTAATGCTACCACAACTTGTCTCCAAGATGAACTGCAACATAAACCCCAAGATAAGAGTTAATCAGTACCATGGTAACACAAATCAAATGTCCCATAAATTGAACTCCTGCAGTTATGCCATTCATTGGTAAGAAGAATGATAGTGTGAGATGCTGTGTGGAGGTTTGATTCAGGGATGAGGCTGGGACTTGTTCAGTTTTAACTCCCTACTGAGCCATGAAACACAACTGATCACCTTGACCCAGTTTTAGTCTGACCTATCTCCCAGGTTCATTGTGAAGATAAATTGGGAAAGATGGTGTCTTCCTTCTGACTTCCGAACATGTAAAATTGAATCGCAGTTCCACAACATTGATATTCTCAAAGGAGGACCAGAGATGAAGCTAGTCTTCATGACGACAGCATAAGTGAACCATTGTAGCACCATGGGGAATTGTAGCACCATTGTGCAATAGGAACCCTATGCATATCAGAACATCTTGAACAGTGCTCTATGGTGCAACATGGCCTCCCACTGTGCAATGGAACACCACTCCTTCATCACAATTCACTAGAAACGTTGTGTTGTGTGTCATATCAAAACAATGATAGATTTTTTTCATGTCAGGTGTGATTTGAGAAACTGCAAGTCACTTCTGGTGTGAGAGAATTGGCCGTCTGCAAGGATGTTGCCCAGGGGACACCCAGATGTTTGAAGTTTTACCATCCTGTTGGAGGCTTCTCTCATGTCCCCACATGGGAAGCTAGAGCACGACAGAGAGAGCATAACCTGCTCCCCAGATTCGAACCACCAACTTTTCAGTTGACTGGTTCAGCCGGCACAAGGGTTTAACCCATTGCGCCACCAGGGGCTCCCTGCTAGATATTTGTAAAGTTATTAATCATAGCCTGTGGTGCAGGATATTGGCCACCATTAATAATATTTTAATTTATCAGTACATTTTAAAATTCAGGTACACATTTGGCACTTTTACATACATTTGTAAAGTCCAAAACCCAAAATGAATCTATTAATCTATGACTTAAAGGTTATGTACACAGGAATAAGTTACAAAGGCCAGAAACATCAAGAAAAGAAAACGAAGTTAATTATTCCATAGATTGTGGAGATTTTTTTCCTGTGGCATATGGAAAGATTCATTTGGATCTAGAGAAGCAGATAACATGATTAGCCATAAACAGAACTGTTATTTTCTTAGGTTCAGGCAGTAGTTTCTGTTCTGCAGAAAGATAACATATTTTCAACTAGTAGGATTATAATTTTTAGCCTAACTCTGGCATATCCTTAGCAAAGGCAAGAGTGTGCTGGATGAATTCCATTACCTTTCTGAGTTGCACAGAAAGTAGCATATTTATTCCCATCATCCTTGGGCAAAGTACTGCTATGGAACTTTTTGTATAACTGGAAACTGTTTGATTTCACCCTTTGCTGGGCATCTGCAAGAGCAACATTATTTGTAGCATGATGTCATTGATCACTAGTTGTATACTTTTTTCCATTCATGTTGGGCACCATTTTGCATCCTATGTCTGAAATACCAAAATATCTGTTCACAGTACACAATCTCTTAAATTCCAAAATGGAGATGATTAATTTCATTATATGCTTGGATGTAGCACATTCTGTATGTTGAAGTATGGTGTGTTTTGGCACTCACACAACTGCATGACCAGAATGAATATCTGGAATTTCATGGGACTGAAAAGTTCTAACTGGCTCTGTAGCAATTTCCCAACAGTAAAACCAATTGTTCTCACAGCTGTTAGAAATCTTCTAAAACAAGGGCTTACAAACCACTGAAAGAATTTAGCATATTACACTTCATGGCTAAACTTGAGTGCACAACATTGTTTTCCAGAAAAGATTGAAGTAGAGTACATTTTCAAGTTTTAATTGTGCAAAGGTCCTCCTGGCCACAACCAACACCTGGGACTCCAGGTTTAGCAATAAGCTGTGAACCTGTGATTTAAAGGGGAGTGTTACCCATCCAGCACATGATGCCATCCTATACCCTGATCTGCCTTGTGACTGACCAGGAGGACCTCTGTCTTGTCTGGATTCAATTTCAATTTGTTTGTCCTCACCCAGTCCATAACTACTCACAGGCACCAGTTCAAAGTCTGGGCACTTCCTTGGCTTTCAGTGGAAATGAGTAATAGGGGGGACTCAGAATGGGATGATGTGGGTGTCATCTGCATACAGGTGACAGCAAACTTCAAAACCCTGGATGATCCCTCCCAGCAGCTTCATGTAGATGTTAAACAACATGGGAGAAAATACAGAGCCCTGTGGAACTCCACAGGACAATGGCCATGGGGTCGAACAGGAAATCCCCAGTACCTTCTGGGTCTGTCCCTCCAGGAAAGAACAGAGCCACTGTAGGACAGTGCCTCCAAGCCCCATTCCAGCCAGGCGGCCCAGAAGGATACCATGGTCAATAGTATTGAAGGCCACTGAGAGGTCCAGAAGAACCAATAGAGACGCACTCCCCCTGTCTAGTTCTCTGCATAGATAATTTGTCAACTAAAGCCAGTCCCGTAGCCAGGCCTAAAACCAGATTGAAATGGATCTAGATAATCTGTTTCATCCAGGAATTTCTAATTGTGACACCACCATGCGTTCTAGGACCTTGCCCAAGAAGGGGGGGTTAGAAACTGGGCAATAATTACCCATTTCAGTTGGGTCCAATGATGTTTCTTTAATAGGGGTCTTACACAGCCATTTTCAGGTTGGATGGAAATTTGCCTTGACTTAGGGAGGCATTTGCCACCCTCTTTACCCTGTCTAGCAAGCCCCTTCTCGCTTGTTTGATTAGCCAAGAAGGGCAAGGGTTGAGAATACATGTGGTGGGTCTTGCTTCTCCAAGCATCATGTTCACATCCTCAAACTGGACCAACTGAAATAAATTCATTAAACATACCCAGCTCCCTAAGCCATTTCCCATATGACTTGTTTTTGACACCTTTGATCATTTTGATTAATATTTTATTGGAGGGATGTGGTGGGGGTACATAAACAATTAGATTAAATAAAATAATATATATACAGTGTGTATCGTATACAATAGAAAACTGAGAGGCTACCACCACCTAGCTTAAGAAAGAAGAAGAAAGAAAAGGAAAAAAGAAAACAAAAGGAGGGGGTGGGGAAGACGAGAAGGGAAAAAAAGAGAAACAAAGAAATAGGATCATTTTGGTTGTCCTTCTCTGGAAATGTTCCATCTTATCAATATTGTTCGTGAACTGTGATGCTCAGAGCCAAATACAGTATTTTTGATCTGAGTCTGATCAAAGCAGGACATACCAGCACGAATACTTTCCTCGATCAGAACTACACTCCTGTTGATAGTGCTCTGAATTGCTTTGGCTTTTTGGACTGCTGCATTACACTGTTGATACAAGTTGAATATGTATTCCACTAAAGGCCCCTACATCCTTTTCATATACACTACTATTGAGCCAAGTGTCACCATCCTTTATTTATGCATTTCATTTTTCCTGCCTCAATCTATGTTTATCACTGTTGAAAATAATTGTGTTCGTTTTGTCACATTTCTCAAACTTATCATTTTGAATTCTGATCCTGTCCTCTGTAGTTTTACCTACCTAAATAAAATCATATACTCAGTTGTCTTCATTGTTTGCTCAATTTATCTGTAAATATATAATACTGCAAGAGCTATAATGAGGACCTGAGTGAATAATTGCTGAATATTACTAGAGTTTAATCTCTTTGAGTTTCTTCTGAAATCATAATTAATAAAAGCAACATCATAAGTTTAAACTACCAAAAAGACTCCTATGCCTACCCATCAAACAATAACTGTCCCAGTGTTGTCTAAGGAGTCAGGACTGAGTTCTGTAATGATCAAAAAGTGCTTTGAAATTTCATGTTATGAACCTTTCAAAATTTCAAGGATTTATAGCTTGTATTTTAAAGCAATGCATAATGTAGAACCATGCCAAGAGTGACTTTAAATACTTTGAACAAAAAGACAAGAGTCCAAAAACAAAACAGTAAGACTTTTATTATGATGATTATTGAGTGCATGACTATAAAACAAACACATAACCAGACTTGAATTACAGTTTTCATCTACTAATTTCATTTGAAGAAAGCTCATCAAAGCTCTTAAGTCCACAGCTCCCTTTTGGGCAGTGGTTCTCAACCTGTGTGTCCTCAGATGTTTTGGCCTTCAACTCCCAGAAATCCTAACAGCTGGTAAACTGGCTGGGATTTCTGGGAGTTGTAGGCCAAAATACATGGGGACCCACAGGTGGAGAACCACTGCTTTAGGGAGATAGCCTGAGTGGAAATAGCAAGATAAAGAATATAAATATGCACTGGGACCTTTTGGTTCAAGAACAAAATCAAAATCAAAACCAATAGCTGTGAGGGAGATCCTGGAAAAATTACTTTGTGGGTTCTAACTCCTAGAATCTTCCTGGAAGTCTCTGAAATATAGTTTATTCCCCTTCCCACAATTCTGTTCTGAGGCAGTAAAAGTGATAACAGAGCCACACATTTGAACCTTGTGCCAATTGATAAAACTAGAGAGCCGGTATATTTGAATGTTGGACTGAGGCTTTGTAGACCAGAGTTCAATTCCTGCTCAGTCATGGATAGGATTGCATTAGGGTGGCTATTAGTCAGAAATAACTTGAAGGAAAACCACAATAAAGTAGTAAATGTATAATATAAAATAAATCATGACAATTTGAAATGCAGCATGGTGTTGTGGTTTGAGCTTTTGGATTATGATTCTGTAAGACATGGGTCAAATCCCCTCTTAACTATGGAAACCCACTTGCGTGACTTTTAGTAAGTTGCATTCTCTCAGCCTCAGAGGGCAGCAAAAACAAACTCTGAACAAATCATGCCCCAAAAACCCATGCTAGGTTTGCCTTAAGAAACAATTTCAGGATACATGATAATAACAACAAACAACAATTTTGCCAGGACCTGATTCTGGAGATAGGCTCCCTATATCTGATTAATGCAAGAGCTGACCCTAAAAAAACTATTTACAGGTTGCACTTGTAACTTTGGCGGATTAAAAATAGTTAAGCCACACCACCTTATAGCAATAGGAAAAGGAAAACCTCTGTAAACATAACATGGCATATCTTTTGGGCATGCCAGAGCACAGTCCGCTTTACCTCCAACTGCACTCCTTCCTTTCTTGACAATAATAATCATGTTAATGTCAAAAAATTCAAAACCTCAATATATAACTATAATATAGAATATTCAAATAGAATTGTTTGGTTAAATATAATGTTATTCCTTTGAATGAGGGGATAGGGCAAATATATATATATACAAATATACACATTTTAAAAGTGGTACTTCAGGGTACACTTTTTGTTTTGGTCCACTTGAATTCCAAGAGCCTCATATTTCAATGGAGAGTTTCCTTGTTGCCGCCCAGCGTTCTTAGAAATGCCAAAGCGATCTTCAAGCTGGTTTCAAATCTCAGGCCGTTCACAGTACATGATAGATGAGCTTGGGGTGAGGGCTCTGGGGACTGCCTGGCTGTGAAAGAGGGCTGGCACCGGGTGAAGGAGAAGCCGCTGCATCCTGCAGGGAGAGCCCGGCCTGATCCGGGGAGGTGATTCTGTCCACAATGCTGGATAAACAGTCCAAACTGGAGAGGGCTGTGGTCACTTCTGATAGATAAAGAGGGGAGGGGAAAAAAGACATGTTCAATAGAAATATCAAGGGGAAAGGTACCAACAAGTGTAATATATCCTAACCTAATCCATCTGCCTACCAGTAACTTTTTAACTGTACACCTCTTTTTAAGATGCCTTGGATCTTGGAAATAATTTTAATAAATTAATTGGCTGTGCTCATATTCCTTTGGCCACATTGTTTTCCCCTTTTCTTTGCATGTTTACATTATATTTCTAAATGCTCAACTGACGGTTTAAGTGTCTCTAATGCTAGTTATTTGGAGACTACAGGAAACATTCATGAGAAGGGGCAGAATTCTTATGGAGGACAATTTTATCCAATTTCTGATTCGTTTTTCACACTATCAAACAACTTGTATCATTGGGAAGTTCTTCATAATATTTACTCACAGTGTCCTTTTTTGTCATTTGAACCCAGTAGTTTCTGGCTTACATTCAGGAGTAACTGAAATTAAATGTACAGTGAAAGGAAAGCTTTTCATAAATTTGGAATCAGCTCTCCTGTCACTCATTATTGGTATAAACATGCCTAACTCCTTCAATCTTTCTCTATAGAACTTATTCCAAGAACTGCCATGAGATGCCTAAATATTGTTTTTAATGTCGGAGCAGAAATTGATTATTATTGCAGGTTCACTGGTTGTTGGTTGATGGTTGTTCTTATATTCTGTTAAAATGTTGTTTTATTCCATTTTATGCTGTTGTTTTTGCATTTTAGTGTGTTATATTTAACTATGTTTGTTCGGGCTCATCCCTATGTAAGCCACCCCGAGTCCCTCAAGAGAGATGGAAGTGGGGTATAAAAATAAAGTGATTATTATTTATTATCTTTAATGTGAAGATTGGTTAACAGATTATCTAAATCAAATGTCCAAAGGCTCTGAGGTTGCAGCTCTTCCAGGGCCTGTAATGTTTCTATGAAGATGAGAGAATTTCCCCACTTTGATGCCACCAGTGTTAGGATTACCACGTGGAAGTTCAGAGCAGTAGACATTGCTGTAAGTGCTGTTTCTCCTGGTCCACATGGGGCTGTTGCATTCACCCTGGGAGGGAAACACAAGAAGAAAGTGGTCATAGTACTTGTAGTTCCTGCTACAGCAATCCCTTGTGGTACATTTGGGTCCCAGAGCCGGATGCTGTGGAGAAGAAGCAAGGTACCTTCAAGTCAGCTCTAACTTTGGGAAACCTTCTTCTCGGGAAGAGATCTTCAGAGTAGTTTGGCCCTTTCCAATCACTAAGGATGAGAGATTATGATTTGTGCAAGGGCACCCAGTCAGTTTCTATAACTGAGTAAAACATTTCCATGGTGGGGGCAAAAATTCTCATTCAGGAGGCAATGTCCTCATTTTGAAACTTCCCCTGTAGCTATATCCCTGCTTATAACTTCCAACCCATTTGTATTACATGGTAAACAAATCTGAAAGTTAAGGACAGATTGCATTGAGTCTGAAAAAAAGAAAGAAGGGACTTTCATAGTAGATGTAAATCCCTTTCTTTTTTCAGTCTGAATGCAATCTGTCCTAGTAGTAGTTTCATAGCAGATGTGGAGCCCCCAGTGGCGCAATTGGTTAAACCCTTGTGCCAGCAGGACCGCTGAGTGATAAGTCAGCAGTTCAAATCCAGGGAGAGTGGGTTGAGCTCCCTCTGTCAGCTCCAGCTCCCCATGTGGAGAGCCAAGAACACTGTAGAATTATTCTTAAAGATCAAGAAAATGCTTAGAGGGGCCACATTTGTTAGAAGTAAATAAATAAAACAAAAGTCCTATGGATACAGGAGTCTCATGGATACAGGGGTCACACTGTACTAAGTTGCATCAGCAGAGTCAAGGCACAATATAGTATAAGTAGAACAGTTCTGAACACAGCATTGACCACATTTTGAAGTAAGGAACGTAACACACATCAAAGCTTTAAAACAGGGGTCCTCAAACTAAGGCCCGAGGGCCAGATATGGACCTCCAAGGTCATTTACCCAGCCCTCACTCAGAATCAACCTAAGTCTGAAACGACTTGAAAACAACAACATCAACAACAATCCTATCTCATCAGCCAAAAGCAGGTCCAGACTTCCCATTGAAATACTAATAAGTTTATATTTGTTTAAAAAATCATCATTTACTTATTGCATTGTTTTAAGTGTTTTTTTTGTACTACAAATAAGATATGTGCAGTGTGCATAGGAATTCATTTATGTTTTTTTCAAATTATAATCTGGCCCTCCAACAGTTTGAGGGACTGTGATCTGGCCCTCTTTTTAAAAATTTGAGGACCCCTGCTTTAAAACATTAGGTGGGGATTTCAGGCCATGTTAGGTGGGGATTTCAGAAGTACAAAGCATCAAAGGAACATTTTCAAGTTTGAATACTCATTGCCATCTAAAGTACCCCGATAAGACTATTACAACTGGTTGCTAACTTTATCACAACAGCATCACAAAAATCAGATCAGTGTTAGGATCACACTGTCAACCGAATGCATACGTATATGTTTTTGTGTCCTCCCATCGAGCTAACTCGTCCGATCCTCTTGAGGAGATAGAATATCAACCCAGATAATTTTAAAAGTCCTCCTTCATCACCATCAGCTTGTGCTCCAGGGTGATAGGAAAGAAAGAACACCAAGGCAAAAGTCCGATGTGCCCCCTCAAATGAGCATTGCACTGACCATGAAGAATGGATTGGAGCACAAGAAAGTCCCTGCCAGTGAGCCTGGAACAGGACACTTTCCCAGGGGTTGAAGGCAAGTGCATCAAAGCTCTGGCATGTCCGGAGAACAACTACAAGAATGTAGCCATAACAACACACCATAACAAATAGGGAGGGGGAATGAGCGAGAGCAGGGCATGTTTTCTCCATCAGCACTGAACAAATGTCTGGGAGAAGCAAATGTTTCCTCTCTGTTTGCAGAGGTGAGAAGTGAGCTCAGGCATTTCCATCGTGCTGTTGTTCTTGCGGTTCAAAACTTGGTCAAGTGAACATAACAATGGAAAACATATGTTTACTAAACAACTTCTGTAGGGCTTACTCCAAAGGTAGTATGCAAAGGACTGCGGATGAGGTGGTGTGTGTGCACTCTCTCAAACACATGCAAAAAAATCTTTTCTTTTTTCTTTTTTTTTTCTTTTTGGATTACAACTTCCTGGATCCCCCTTAGACATGCTGCTTGGGGAATTCTGCAAGTTGTGTTCCGAAAGACAACTTTTTCAAACTTTGGTTGGAGAAAATACCTCCATGTCCACAGATTCTGCATCCACAAAGTTGAGCATCCATGGCTTCAAACTTTTCTATAATCTAAAAGGTAATCCCTGATTTTGTCGTTTTATGTAAGAGACATCCTTTTACTATGCCAAATATATATTATGAGACTTGAGCATCCACAGAGTTTGGTACCAAACCACAACAGATACCAAGAGTCAAATGTAACACTGTTTTATTGTTTTATTGTATTATAAAAACAGCTTCCAAAAAATTAAAGAGCTGCTGGTTGTTTGAGAGTTCCAGTCAACTGAGAGATTTTACATATACAAATCTTTTTAAAATCTTTTCAAAAAGTTATTAAAACATCAGCATCCTTTGTGACTTTTGCTTATCATGGCCCCATCTGTGCTGACCATTTAATGCAGTTTGAAGCTAGCTTCAAGCTGCAGTGTCCAGACAAAAACTCCTGCCAAACACATGGAAAACAATTCCTTAATGTGCACCAGAGTCTATGGTTTGTGCCATCATCATTCAGGCCTCATACTGAATTTAAGAGACAACTAAAGACCTATCTCTTCTAGCAAGCCAATCCAGTCAGTGTTTAACTATGACTTGTAAAGTCACCTCCTAAATCTACTGTATTTATGTAAGAGACACCATTTGGTCTGTATATTTTAATATGTGCATTTCAAAGAAATACATGGAACCCCTGGTGGCACAAGAGGTTAAACCCTTGTGCCAGCAGGAGTGCTGACGAAAAGTTTGGTGGTTTGAATCTGTGGAGCGGGGTGAGCTCCCATCTGTCAGCTCCAGCTTCCCATGCAGGGACATGAGAGAAGCCTCCCACAAGATTGTAAAACATCCGTGCATCCCCTGGGCAACTCACAGAAGCAACTTGCAGTCTCTCAAGTTGCTCCTGAAACACACAAAAAAGAAAAGAAATACATTACAATATGTGTATATTACTGAATGTTTTATGATGATGTGTTTTTCACTGTGTTGTGCCTCTGTGAGGAGAGGTAAGAAATACAATTATTATTATTATTATTATTATTATTATTATTATTATTATTCCAAGATTTCCTGTGTAATCATGTTCTTCAATACTTTTTGAAACTGCTTTGAATGGTAAGTGTACATGGCTCCTGAGAGTTTATTTTGTGTGTGTGTGAGAGAGGGGGGGGGGTACATACATATGCACGCAGTCCCCAGGTTACAAACATCTGACTTATGAATGGCTCATAGTTAAGAACTGGGTGAGACAACAGGAAGTGAGAGAAATCTACCACTTCATAGGGAAATTCACTCTTGAAAGAGTTATCATGGGGAAAAGCTGTCTCCACTGAAGCTTTATCACCAATCCTTGCTTCAACAACAAGCCAGATATTTCAACATTCAATGATCATTGGGACAGAAAGTGAACAGAAATCCTCTGACCAGGGGCACAGACAGCAAAACAAACATCACAGGGGTTTTAACCCTTCCCTGTTCTATCCAAAAACATAGATTTATGTATCTATATTTTTGGATTATGTGATTATAATATTTATACTAGGACGTTTTAATGCTTTTTAAATACTTAAATGTTGTTTATGTCTCATGTTTTATTGTTTTAATGATTTAATTTATAGTTATATATTCGTGTTTAGTTATTATGATTTTTTTCTGTCTACATGTATGTTGGCATTGAATTTTTGACATTAGTATGTTGTAAACTGTCTTGAATCCCCCTCTGGGGTGAGAAAGATGATATATAAATATAGTAAACAAATAAATAAATATTTGGCTAGAGTTACACTTAAAAATTTACCTGTTTTGACTTACATACAAATTCAACTTAAGAACAAACCTACACAATCTATCTTGTTTGTAACTTGGGAGCTGACTGTGTGTGTATATGTGTGTGAAAGTGTGGATGTTCCTACCTATGTATGCTTGTGGCTGATTTCCAGGAAAGCATCCAGGGCAATTTCCCCACAATGACAGACCCCCTATTTATTTATTTATTTATTTATTTATTTATTTATTTATTTATCGTATCAGAAGCGAACCGAGGGTATAGTGTAATATATTTAGAAAGTAAAAATTTTAAAAACTTGGCATTGTACTAAATGTCCTTTGACCAGTGGCTGGCCACTTGGGGTGCCTCTAATGTTGCTACAGTATAAAGAGGGCTTCCATTGTGCATGTGGCAGAGCTCTGGTTGCATTATAGTAGGTGATCTGTGATTTGCTCTTCTCCACCAGAAGCAACCAGAAGTGACTTGCAGACCTCCCATGATCAACTTTGAATGAATATTGGTGGGCTTTGGAGATAACTGATCCACAGTGTTAGGAGTTAAAAGAGTTTGCCTACATCTTTATGCCTTTTCTAATGGGATCACTTACTTCTTGGGAGGAGAGCAATGTCCAGTCTCGATAAAATAGTGAAGAGTAGAGACATCAGACTGGCAACAAAGATCCGCTTAGTCAAAGCCATGGTATTCCCTGTAGTCACCTACGGATGTGAGAGCTGGACCTTAGGGAAGGCTGAGCGAAGGAAGATCGATGCTTTTGAGCTGTGGTGTTGGAGGAAAGTTCTGAGAGTGCCTTGGACTGCGAGAAGATCCAACCAGTCCATCCTCCAGGAAATAAAGCCCAACTGCTCACTGGAGGGAAAGATACTAGAGACAAAGTTGAAGTACTTTGGCCACATCATGAGGAGACAGGAAAGCCTAGAGAAGACAATTATGCTGGGGAAAGTGGAAGGCAAAAGGAAGAGGGGCCGACCAAGGGCAAGATGCATGGATGGCATCCTTGAAGTGACTGGACTGACCTTGAGGGAGCTGGGGGTGGTAACGGCCGACAGGGAGCTCTGGCGTGGGCTGGTCCATGAGGTCACGAAGAGTCGGAGACGACTGAACGAATGAACAACCAATAAAATTACATTAATTGACGCATCCGTAGCTTAAATGTTTTTGAGCAGGACTGATGACCAACAGGTCAGTGGTTCGAATCTAGAGAGAGTAGGTTGAACTCCCGTCTGTCAGCTCCAACTCCCCATGCAGGGACACGAGGGAAGCCTCCCACAAGGATGGTAGAACATCAAAACATCTGGGTGTCTCCTGGGCAACATCCTTGCAGATGGCCAATTCTCTCACACCAGAAGCAACTAGCAGTTTCTCAAGTTGCTCCTGACACACACACACGCACGCACACACACACAAATCCATAAAACAAGCAATGACTACACTAGACTTTCGCTTATCCAACTTTCACTCGTCCAACATTCTGTATTATCCAATGCAGTCTGTCTCTTGCCCGGATCCACAGCTGTTTCAGTACATTGAGATGTTTAGCTGCTAAATGTGTAAATACAGTAATTACTACATAATGCTGCCACGTATTGAACTGCTTTTTCTGTCAATTTGTTGATGTTTTGGTGCTTGATTTGTAAAATCATAATATCGACAATGATTATATAACCTATAGAAGATCTATATTTTTATATTTTTATATTTTATACAGATTTTTATTGCTTAACTGTACCATCTTTGATGCTTGATTGACTGATTTATACCTTTTTAGCCAAAGCCGCCCAATGTGTTTTAATAGCATGTATAATATATGATTGTTGATAGTATACAGCATTGAATGTTTGTCACTTTTGGTTTTTTATAAGACGTCCTGAGTCCCTCTAGGGCAAGGTCCTCAAACTAAGGCCCAGGGGCGAGATACGGCCCTCCAAGGTCATTTACCCAGCCCTCACTCTGGGTCAACCTAAGTCTGAAATTACTTGCAAGCATACAACAACAACAATCCTATCTCATCAGCCAAAAGCAGGTCCACTCTTCCCATTGAAATACTAAAAATTGTTAAAATTGTTCTTCATTTTAATTGTTGTATTGTTTTTAAGTGTTTTTTGTACTACAAATAAGATATGTGCCGTGTGCATAGGAATTTATTCATGTTTTTTCAAATTATAATCCAGCCCTCCAACAGTTTGAGGGACTGTGACCTGGCCCTTTGTTTAAAAAGTTTGTGGGTTCCCTGCTCTAGGGAAAGAGGACAAGTTAGTTTTATAAAGTTTAAAATAAAATTTTAATAGGCTTTTCCTTAATCCCTCTTTATTATCCAACATTTTCACTTATCCAACATTATTTTGGATAAACGAGACTGTACTGTACTTCCAACACAAGTGACCTAACTTTGGCATCGCAGGGCACCTCAACTAGTAGGATTTTTTTTTTCATGTCAGGAGTGACTTGGGAAGCTGCAAGTCACTTCTGGTGTGAGAGAATTGGTCATCAGCAAGGACGTTACCCAGGACGTTTCTACAAGAGAGGAGATTCCATCTGAACATTAGGAAGAACTTCCTGACTGTGAGAGCCCTTCAGCAGTGGATCCCTCTGCCCCAGGGTGTGGTGGAGGCTTTTAAACAGAGGCTGGATGGCCATCTGTCAGGGGTGCTTTGAATGCAATATTCCTGCTTCTTGGCAGGGGTTGGACTGGATGGCCCGTGAGGTCTCTGATTCTATGATTCTATGAATATTTTGATGTTTTACCATCCTTGTGGGAGGCTTCTCTTATGCCCCCGCATGGTGAGCTGGAGCTGACAGAGGGAGCTCATCTGCCCTCTTCCCAGATTCGAACCTCCGACCTGTCGGTCTTTAGTCCTGCCGGCACAAGGGTTAACACTGCGCTACTGGGGAGGCTCCTATTAGTAGGAAATAAAATTATATTGAAACAAAAGTTATTCAAACTTCTCACGCCTTCGTGACTTTTGCCCCAGCCTGTAATAGCGACATATCTGAAGGGACACCACCCCCCACACACAAAGGAGATGAGGTGGTCCCGTGTCTTTCTGCCTCCCTCCTCTGCGTCTCTTTTACTCTTACCAATCCGCCGTCGGAGCAGGTGGAGAGGGGGCTGTCGGGCTGGGACCCTCCGTGGCCTCCCAGGCGGTAGTAGTGGTCGTGGAGCAGCTCCTGGAGGCTCTGGATGTAGCGGATGGCGTCGCGGAGGATCTCGACCTTGGGCAGGCGCTGCCCGGGGGCGCCCGAGGCCGTGCATCGCCGCAGGGCCTCGAAGGCTTGGTTGACCTTCTTGAGGCGCCTCCGCTCCCGCAGTGTGGCCGCCCTGCGACGCTCCCCGGGCCCCCCTCCGCCGCCGCCGCCCGCTTTCTTCTTGCAGGCCTTGCAAGCCCACAGCAAGCAGGGGCCGCCGCCTTGCGGGTGGCTCGACGACGGGGCCCGCACGTGCTCCTCTTCTTCCTCCTCCTCTTCCTCCTCTTCATCCTCTTGGTCGGGCGAAGAAGACAGGCAAGAGGAGCCGCCGCCGTCGTAGAAAGAGAAGGCAGCAGCGGCGTCGAGCAACGAGGGCTCCTCCATCCTGGGAGGCTTCGGGGTGTCCGAGCTGGAGGGCGCTTTATAGCCGCGGGTTGGGCGAAGGCGCGGCTGCCCCTTGGCGAGGAGCAGCAGAAGAAGAAGCATCCCGAGCCTCTGCTTTGGGGGGAAGGGGGAGAGCGGGGGGCCCTCCCTTTCTCCAAGTGGAGCTGGGCCTCCCTTTTGGCCACTGATTGGCCGCCCACGTTTGCAAGATCCCAGAGGGTGCCTTGAGTTAGTACAGTGCTTCTCAACCTTCCTCATGCCACGACCCCTTGATACAGTTCCTCATGTTGTGGTGACCCCCAACCATAGCATTATTTTCGTTGCTACTTCCTAACTGTAATTTTGCTACTGTTATGAATCCTCGTGTACATATCTGTCTTTTCATTCACTGAACCAAATTTGGAACAAATACCCAATAGCCCAAATTTGAATACTTATGGGGTTGGGGGATTGATTTTGTCATTTGGGAATTGGAGTTGCTGGGATTTATAGTTCACCTACAATTAAAGAGAATTCTAAACTCCAGCAATTATGGAATTGAACTAAACTTGGTGCACAGAATTCCCATGACCAACAGAAAATACTGGAAGGGTTTGGTAGGCATTGACCTTGAGTTTGGGAGTTGTAGTTCACCTACATCCAGAAAGCACTGTGGACTCCAACAATGATGGGTCTGGACCAAACTTGGCACAAATACTCAATATGCCCAAATATGAACACCAATGGAGTTTGGGGAAAATAGACTTGATATTTGGGAGTTGTAGTTCCTGGGATTTATAGCTCACCTACAATCAAGGAGCGTTCTGAACTCCACCAACAATGGTATTAAATAAAACTTGGCACACAGAACTCCCATGGCTGACATAAAATACTAGAAGGGTTTGGTGGACATTGACTTTGAGTTTTGGAGTTGTAGTTCACCACCATCTAGAGAGCACTGTGGACTCAAACAATGATGGATCTGGACCAAACTTGGTATGAATAATCAATATGCCCAAATGTGGAATTTGGGGGAAGTAGACTTAAGATTTTGAAGTTGTAGTTGCTGGGATTTATAGTTCACCTACAATCAAACATATGTCCCTACTACAGCTTAGAGAAGACGGTGATGCTTGGGAAAATGGAAAGAAAAAGGAAGAGGGGCAGACCAAGGGCAAGATCGATGGATGGTACTCTTGAAGTGACAGGCTTGACTCTGAAGGAGCTGGGGGTGGTGACAGCTGGCAGACAGGGAACTTCGGCATGCGCTGGTCCATGAGATCATGAAGAGTCTGAAGAGACTGAACGAATAAACAACAACACAACCAAAGAGCATCATGAACTCCACCAATTGAACCAAACTTGGCACACAGAACTCCCATGACCAACAGAAAATACTGGAAGGGTTTGGTGGACATTGACTTTAAGTTTTGGAGTTGTAGTTCACCTACATCTAGAGAGCACTGTGGAATCAAACAATGATGGATCTGAACCAAACTTGGCTCAAATACTCAATATGCCTGAATGAGAACACTGGTGGAGTTCGGGGAAAGTAGACTTGACATTTGGGAGTTGTAGTTGCTGGGATTTATAGCTCACCTACAGTCAAAGAGGATTCTGAATCCCACCAATGATAGAATTGGGCCAAACTTCTCACAGAGAATGGTCTCTGGTGACCCCTCTGACACCCTCTTGTGACCCCCCCAGGGGTCCTATCCCCAGCTTGAGATACAGTGTTTTAGTTAGTAACACCTCGGAGGTCGAAGGGGGAAGGGAGTAACAAAAAAACGAGAGCCTAGAAAGAGAGATAGGGCGAGACTTTGGCCCCTTCTATGCTACCATATAAAATCCAGATTATCTGCTTCAAACTGGATTATATGGCAATGTAGACTCTTATAATCCACTTCAAAGCAGATAATGTGGTTTATCTGCTTTGATAATTCAATGAAGAGGGGACCTTCCACCTCCTACTTCCAAAGAATGGTGATTCCCATGAGCCTGAAAGTTGCATCTACACTGCTGAATTAATATAGTTTGACACCACTTTCATGGCTCAATACTATGGAATCTTGGAATTTGTAGTCAAGTTTGATTGACCTTAGGTGCCTCCATACCTTAAAGCCATCAGATGCTTCTGATCTTGGAAGCTCAGCAGGGTCATAGCTAGGAAGGCCACCAATGATCCTGTTGGGTATATTTTAGAAGAAGAGCCTGGCAAGGATGCCTTTGAGTATTCCTTGCCTAAGAAAAACCTATGGAAATCCACTAGTGACTTGAAGGCACTTACATACAAAGATGCTCCCAAATGGATTCTGATATATGGCAAATTTGTAGGGTTTTCTTGGCAAGAGCTTTTCAGAAGAGCTTTTTCTTCCTCTGCTGTGAGAGAATTAACTTTGTGAGTTTCCATTATCAAATGAGGATTGGACCCTAGATATGGCCCCTTTTGCACTGTCATATAAAATCCAGATTATCTGATTTGAACTGGATTATATGGCTGTGTAAACTCATATAATCCAATTCAAGGCAGATTATGTGGATTATCTGATTTAATAATCTGGATTATATGGCAGTGTAGAAGGGCTTTAGTGAGACCTTAGCAAATTATTTCCCCCTTGTTACTTCTGAGGCTGGATCTACGCTGTCCTATACCCCAGGATCTGATCCCAGATTATCTGATTTGAATTGGATTATATGAGTCTACACTGCCAGATAATCTGGGATAAGCAGATATTCTGGGACTAAATCCTGGGATATAGGGCAGTATGGAAGGGGCCGAAGGGTGTAGCTACACTGTAGAATTAATACCATAAGAAACCACTATAATTACCCTGGCTCAATAAAATGGAATCCTGATGCTTGTAGTTTGATGAGACCCTGCCAGTCTCTGGCACTTTGCAAAGCTACAACTCCCAGGACTCTGTAGTATTGTGCCATATCTAACTATATGAATTTTTATATCTAACTATATGAATTTTTCAGTGTAAATGTATCCTGACCTTTTGAGAAGAAGACTGGATACTCAGTAAGAATTTCTTTAAAAGAGTTGCCAGACTTCCCCCTTGGTGGTCTCTCAGCCCAGAGACAAATGGCATTTGCCACAGAAACTTATTCTTGTCTCAGTTTTGCACCCCACCCCCTGAACTTTCCCCCTCCTTCCCTGCAAAGAAAATAGGTTTGCCAAAGGCATTCTGGACTTGCACCGTTACCGATGCCTTCCAGCTGCCAGCGCCACACGACCCCTTGCCTCCCCCTGCTCGACAAAGTGTAAAGTTTCGAGCCCCCAAAGCATGAGTAACTTTAAGGCCTGTCGGTGACAAAAGCTGCCCAAGGGCACAAACGATTGCAAAGCTGGAGAGAGGAGGGAGGCATTCCACTGCCATAAAAAAGGCATGGGGCAGGCATTTGTCCCAAGGACTTGCTAGAGGGAAAAAAAAAACACAACCGATTATCTTTCGGCAGGCAATAAACCCATTTGTACATTACGCCTCCAGCCAGTTCCATGGAAGGGGCCCTCTTACATTGAAATTTACTAAAGTAGGCCCACATAAGTGATGACCAACTTGTTCTTTTTATAAAAGAATACTTCTTTGGAAAATGAACATAAAACACTGTCTGTAAAACAAACAAATCTATAGATAAACTAACCCAATTGCAAAGCATGACTGTAATATGCAGGATATAGTTACAGAGTTCAATATCTTCACTGTAGCATTAATGCAATTTGACCCCATGGCTCAGAGGAATGGAATTATGGGAGCACTGAGGTCTTTAGTCTTCTCTACCAATTATTGCAAATGCCTCACCAAACTACAAATCTCATAGCATGAATGCCTAATTCAACCAAATTCAACCAAGTACAACATTCCCTATATGAGGAGGCATGGTTAGGTCTGTTGATTGGTTAGTGTTGGGGAATCTGAGCTGTTAGCCTCAAAAATAACCCTCATTTGGGATGATTCGACCATAAATATAAGCAGAGTATCAGAAGCAAATCTCATAACAAGCAGAAACTGTGATGAGCTAGGGTACGCTTTCTCTCAATAGGATGGCACAGGATTGCAGAGTCAGAACTTTAGGTTCAATAATATTTATTGAAGTAAAAGAAATATATTCTAGATAGGAAAGGTCTTGGAGCTACTAAGTCTTGTATTCTAAGAAAGGTAAAAAGGGTAAAAAGTTTTAAAAAATCCATACAGCTACATTTGCCTAAAGAAAGAGGCAAAATGCATCTTCACTGAAAGGAAGAAAAGGCAGGAGAGACTGGAAAATGGCGAATGGCCACATGGCCAAACCCAGGGCAATAAAAATACATTTTGAAAGGAAGTTCCATCACAGAGATTCCATTGCTACATCCTCAAAGGAGGAAGAGACAGTGGCAAGGGAGGAGGCGGAAAGACAAAGCCCTTTTGCTAAACGTGCATAGGAATGTGGGGGAGGAATCCCTCTGCCTACTCCTATCTCTAGCCTATCTACTCATTGAGGACTGGAGACTTGATGACACAAGAGACTTGTGCAGTCCAGGGATATAACCCAACAGTTAGCACAGCAAATAAAAGTGCACCAAATTTCTGTAGTTATTTATGTCCTTTGTTCAGCTCTTTTGTCTCTTTGTGTTAATTTCTCTGAAACAACTAAAGCCAATTTCTGTGTTAATTTCTCTGAAACAACTAAGGCCAATTTCTCTGAAACAACTAAGGCCATATAATCCAGTTCAAAGCAGATAATCTGGATTTTATATGGCAGTGTAGAAGGGGACTCAGTCCCATATTCTTGCATACCAAGAGGCGATGTCAATGGATTCTCAGTCTTCTACCGTTATGCTATTAACTGACTTGTTAAAAACTTCTTGACTAACTTGTTCTGCTTATTTCGAGAGCTCTCCCAGTTTAGGACTGTCTCTATTCCCATTGACTTCTGATGATGGGTTTCTTACACATCATATGTGTAAATCACTTCATGATTCACCTGACAAAATCTGTAACAGATTAGGGTTATATTTCAAGGCAGAAAATAGCAAAGACATGGAAGCACACCTGATGAAAGTTAGGAAGACATCTCCAAGGCTAAATACTAAGGAAACAAAGTAAAGCATTGATGATGCAGACATAAAGATTTTCAATAACTTGATTCAGT